AAAGTGACCAAATTGACCGCATTGTTTTGTCAAGTATTGAATGTGTCTATAACTGTTCAGATTTTCGAAAAGAGAAACAAACTGCAGTTCGTGTTATTCAGCTTTATGATTGTCTGGTTTGATGTTCAACTAAATTAAAGTCTGGATTTTCAGTTTCCTTATTATACAGGCCAAATATTTAATAAACAAAACCAGCTGTGAGGAATAATTTTAAAATAATCAACTTTTCAATTTGTGGAATGTCAAAACCTGCTTTGATTAATTTGCTTCACAATTGTCTTGTTTATCTTCATAATATTAAATTATAATCGCTTTCTTGTGCTAGACATAGCCAAAATGAAATTTCTGATTTGTTATTTTTTAAAAAATCCGTTTTCATTTCGTTTGTAAAACAACATTGTTGTGGAAAGCTTTTCGGTTTAATTTTTCCATACTATTTTACGTCAACAAAACGATAAAACAAAATCTGAAACGATTAACCCGGGTTCATAGCTATCTTGTTTAACTTCAAAGTTTAATTATAATGCTATTTGAGAAAGTGTTTTCTGGACGATTAAACAAGATTAAATCGTAAATTTCAAACTGTTTCATATCATTTCTTNGCTGTGAGGAATAATTTTAAAATAATCAACTTTTCAATTTGTGGAATGTGAAAACCTGCTTTGATTAATTTGCTTCACAATTGTCTTGTTTATCTTCATAATATTAAAATTATAATCGCTTTCTTGTGCCAGACATAGTCGAAATGAAAGCTTTTCGGTTTAATTTTTCCATGCTATTTTACGTCAACAAAACGATAAAATAAAATCTGAAACGATTAACCGGGCTTCATAGCTATCTTGTTTAACTTCAAAGTTTAATTATAATGCTATCTGAGAAAGTGTTTTCTGGACGATTAAACAAGATTAAATCGTAAATTTCAAACTGTTTCATATCATTTCTTGCGTGTTTTCATCGCTTTGTATTATTTTCTGAATTGTTTTGCCTTCATTTCGTTGTGTTTATTGTGGTCCGTATAACTTCTGTTTATGTCTATCAAATGTTCGAGTTCAATAAGGGTTGGGTTAAACTTGCAGAATAGAATCGCGTCTCTTTGATCAGGCACTTGGGTTTTATGATAAGTTGGTTGAAAATGTATACTTGTAACTGGATGAAGACCTGTTACTATTACTGCCGGCGCTCGTTGTAACACAGGACATTGCGTTAAAACGAATTAAAAAATTTATTAGACACTAAATTACTACTGATTTCTGAATTGTTGAAGTTTTTGTTGAAATTGAAATAGAACCTGAAATTAACTAAGAGTAAGATCACGATCAGTTGTTGTGTGGCTAAACAACAGTTGAAATTGTCTGTATTATTCCAAAACTTCATAACTGTTGTTACATATTGTTTAGGACGGGTACATTTCTTGAAGTTGTTAGCAAAACGACAGTTGAAATTGTCTTTATTACTCCAAAACTTCATAACTGTTGTTGCAGATTGTTTAGGAATGGGTGCATTTCTTGACGTTCAAAACAACAATTGAAATTGTCTATTATTCCAAAAACTTCATAACTGTTGCAGTACAAATTGTTTAGGACGCGCCAATTTATTGAAGTTCTTAACAAAACAACAGTTGAAATTCTCTGCCATACTCCAAAATTTCGTAACTGTTGTTACAGATGTTTCGAAGTTTTTGATTCGGCTTGTCCTGTGTTACAAACGAGAATCGGTTGAAAAAGGTTTTCATCCGAAACATCACCTCGTGCAAAAGGGCTTGAAAATACTTAAATTTTTCGGTTCAAAATTCGATTTAAACGAGCGAGATTAAAATTTGTTTTGGAATATTTTTTTAAGGGTTGGAAACAAATTGGCGTTTTACTTTACACTTTTTTGCACGAGGTGATGTTCAAATAATTTTTGGCGGGAAAATTTCAAGGGAAGCCATTTTGAATTTTTTTGCCCAGAAAGTTGTCAGGGTAAACGCTGTGCAAATTTTTTCCAATTTTCCCGCCAAAAGTCTTAGTATATATAGGGAGCATTTTTTCTTGACACCTTTTTAATTAATTAAATGGAATTTCAATTAACTAACTAAAGAATATTAGAGTAAATAAAGTTATTTAAAAGACAAAAAGCACTTGCCTGTTTATTGTTTAAAAAATAAAATTAAAGATTACTAATAAAGATGGGAAAGGAACTGTACTGGTAATATTTATTGTCTTATGTTATTTACAAATATAAATAAAGCAGATGACAACAAGTAAATTCAATTTTATTAAGGATAGAATTAACTACAAAGTACACAAGACTAAAACATATTAACTTTTATATTTTTTTTAAAAAAATTGGCGCATGCGTATTTTAGGCGCCTGTATTTTTTCTAAGTTTTTTGGCGGGAAAAATCAAAATTTTAAATAGAACTTACAGCAAGTATGGAGAAATTAAAAATTTTTTGAAAAAAAAACGGCGCATGCGTATTTTGAGCGCCCGTATTTTTCTAAGTCTTTTGGCGGGAAAATTGAAACCGTTCAAACCGATGTTACTTAGGAAAAAACTAACACAAAAAATTCAACATTAAATATATTTAGAAAATTTGTGTTATTCCAGTGATAAATTTCAGTCGAAGCTATGATTTCACAAACAGCTCAAAATGGCAGAAACTAATTCGCTCTGATAACAGTCCTATCTTGATACTGGGTGACAAATTTTCCCTGCGATTCTTTCGACTTAGTCTTGAAGTAAACTCTTGGTTTAGTTTGTTTTCTACCTCTGAGTAAACTTGTGTTTATCTTGAATTCCACTGGGCTGATTTCTTCTTTTGGTTTTGCAATGAACGTCAAAAGCATCCAGAAACCTACGAGAATAAAAGAAAAAAGTAAATTAGTTGCTGCAATATAATAATACTAAAACTCGTTACGATAAGCGCGCATACTTATTGCTTCAAAAACGCTGGTTGACTCCATCAAATTAAACTTTAAATTTAGTGGTCGAATAATCGGGGGTCAGTTACATCAACAGTTGAATAATCGCAGTCGATTTCTTTGGTGAAAATTTTTATTTCTTATATATTTTCCAAATGGCTCTGGATGAATTTGCTTCGCGTCCGAAATCTGGGTTGTCACACAACACGTCTAGTGGCGCCCCAGAAAACGGCAGCGAATCTTAAGGCTATCGCTTACGGAACTTAAAACCCTGGACCAGGTTGTATATAATCTAGCTAGTGCATGTCCTCCTTGAGTTCTCTTACAGGAAAATGAGAAATTACTCCAAGATAAATCCGACTCATGTGCGTCACGTTGAACACAAAATGTGCACTGTGACACCAACTATTACTGATTTGCATTTTGTTTTCATGCATTCCCTGGTGTATTCGTCTTGGGCATAAAACCTTGTATTTTTTTCTAGTTTTCCGTTTTTGACTTCAGTTAAATGTGAATGAAACAACTTTTCTGGAAGAAAACAAATGTAAGTAATTGTGAACTTCAAATGCTTGATTTGAATTTCGCGGCTCCTGTTCGCGGCTTTAGCCTCCGAGTAAACTCGCTCATTAGATATGATAATATTGTATAAAAAAAAACTATTTTCTTTTCGTTGCTAAGTCCGTGCTTTTATGAATAATAACCACCAAGAGAATATGATCACTTCCGGACTTGTTTATTCTCTGCACATTTATTTTCAAAATTTCCGTCGATCCGTCAATAATTTTGTCTTTTTCAATACAAATTCCTCCTTTCCGAGCCACGGGCTCTATTAGCTTCTACTTGCATTATTCAATGTTCGGTTTCAACGGTGATTAATTTTATATAGCAATCTAGAATTAACGTCAAAAATCAATTTCTTGATAAATTGCAAATTGTGAATTTAAACAGTAAAGGCGAGAAAAAAGTTTTAAACCGCGAAATAAAGCTTTGGTCAACGGCAGTATTGTAGTGTTTATCGGCGGCTTTCGAACAACCTGGTCCAGACCTACAGGTTAATGCACGTGTCGAAACTTATCAACTCACCTTATTGAAAAGCGTCATTCCTGAAGTTGTCCTTTTTTCCATTCCAGCTTCTCTTATCCCAAGCTTGATATTTTCCTGGAGAGAGATATAAAGTTCCATGTGAATACATGTTGATTGAACGTGTATCTAAGTAAAATGTGATCAACTTTACGGGCAGGAGATTGATCTTGATTTCACAGAGAGTTGCGCCCTTGTGCGATTTTTAAACCTTTTGCTTTTTAACGAAGGACAAGCACTCGAAAGGTCAGCTTTCCCTGATTTTTTCCCCTCTATTGTTTGCAAATAATAAACTAAGGTTTCTTTAGGTGAGAATCTTGGTTAGAGTCTTATGGCTAGGAAATGCCTTTATACAAATACACAACTCAAGTGTAAGCTCTCCGTAAATTAAAAGTCAAGAAAACCTTTGGAGAGCTTTTCTTCAGTTCATGTGGTCTCCTTAAATTAGAACCAATGCAATTGAGAAGAATGGTTCTTATTCCAATGAGAAAAGTTGCAAAGTTCCACAGCCATTAAAGCGTCTCGTTCGGAAATAAAGAGCTTTTAATCTAGCTAAAGGAGATGCTGTTTTAGTGAAGGCAGAAAAGGCTTACATTTGTCCTGGAGTTTGTCAGAAAAGACAAGTGTATTGATACTACACAAACTCTAACCTGTGATTTGAGAAAACATTATCCTGTTGTCTGTCTGTCCATGCGTATGACGATATCTTTTTCCAGCTTTATGGCATTGTGTTATCCTTTGAAAGAAAAATACAGTTATGTTTAGATAAGGCTGATATAACTGTTTTATACACAGCTAGCTCATAAGGTCGTTGATTGCAAATTTTCCTCAGTATTGCCACGAGTTTAGTTCTACCCAGGAAGTGGAATAGTGTAAGAATTAAAGTAACGACCCCTCCCCCAAACGAACTCTTCACTCCACGCTCTTATTGGTCAATTGTAGTCTGTGAACCCAAGTAACAGTTTTAAAAGGAGCTAACTGAATGCAAAATACATCGCGAACCCAGGGCTTCAATAATTGAAGAATCAACTGTAACCATTTAGTTTTGTTCTTCCAGAAGCTTCCTTCCCCCAACCAAAGAGAAGATTGACAATTACGATTTTATTCTACGCCAAAATAGCTTGTCCTTGTCTTTTGGGCCCAAGCACTCAGAAAAAATATAGAATTTTCGGTCTTCAAGTTTAAATCTGATTGACAAATAGAAAAGAAAAAGGCACCTCAACGTACAGCGATTCTGACGAGCCTACAAGACAACACCTTAGCTTCGTAGTTTGTTTTGTTATAATCTCCAAACTGAAGTACCACAATTAATTAAAAAGCCACCAGCAGTTGTTTAACTTGCCATTTAAGTGCAACTTATCTCTTCGGAGTTTCGTAAAAAGTGAATGAAAGCAAAATGTCTTCTAAATAACACCGAGTTTAGAGTCTGCGGAATAGAAACGACCTTGAGTTTAAACAGTTTGATACTAATCGACTATCCTCTTTGAAGAAAATTTGTCCAGAAGTTGTTCTTCTCCTGTGGAATAGCGTTTGATGATATCCAGCTTATCCCGTTCTGTGCTTGGCAATTTTAATTTTGCTTGGAGTAAATGAAGTATAATATGAACTGACATACATACTGCGTAACGCATCTGGCGGTAATGATGATAATGTGCGAGGGAGGGGGGTGGGGTGG